GTGCCAAGGTTCTTTGCCAAAACGCGTTGAGCAGTTGATGAAGTACAAGGGCACCAACAGCACTTTGGCATTTGCCAGGGACGCTGTATCCAAGACTCCTTATTTGATGAAGTTGTGGGATGAGGTCCTGGCAAAACAAGTCTCCACAACCGCGGCTATACCAAAAATCGTCCAGTATGAGGAGCTCCTGGCAAAAGAGCCTGTGGATGAGAAGGCACTTGAGGGGGCCTGCAAAGAGTTCAAGGCATTGAAGAAAGCCTGCCGCTCTGGGGTTGCTGACAAGATGGAGGCAGCTTTGCGGGACGCCTTGCATTCAGTTGCAAACCGCATTCTGAAAGAAGAAGGAGGGTGTAGCATGGCATTCTTCACCGAAGTCCAGAACGGATTGCAGCTTTTCACAGATGCAGCTTCCTTTGCTGTAGCATCCCGTTTGACCAAGCTTGGGGCCAAGGTAGCGCAGGATTTGTGGGCGCAAGATGCTTTGAGCCTCCTGTCCATCTACCCAGAGATTTGTGAACAAAAGGATGGTGCCAGGTCTTTTTTTGAGAACAGTGAGAAGCTAGCCTCTACCTTGCAGAAGGCCGCAGGTGGATTGAAGGCTGATCTGCTGAAGGGGCTGGAGCGCGCGGCATTCTGGCATTTGCGGGAATGCTTTTTCTGGTCTCGAGCGCCTTGACTTTGCTTGTTTTCATCGTTCGCTGAAACTCACACTTGTTGGCGGTACCCACCAATCTTGTTGTTATAGAGGAGCAGCTAGCTGCGATATGTAGCTGCAGACAGGTTAGATTAAACCGCCAAAAAGCAGATTTCATTTTCTGAAACTGTGAAACTCAGAGCTCACCAAGAATGGGAACTGACTTAGCTTAGCTGAGCTCACCAAATGATTGTGGTAGAAATCTTCTTTGCTGCTCGGTTCCTGCAACAAATGTTTCAACAAAAGTGTGTTTGCAAGCTTGCTTGGGTCCAAGTCCACCAGCTGCTAGCTGCCCAACCTTATAACACATCAATCCCACCTCTCCCCGCTATCAGCCCAGGATTCCAACGCGCCAGAGAAGGTGCGGGATGTCTTGAAGAATTTTGACGCCATCTTTTTGCGACTGAGCCCTGACTACAAGCTAAGGGCTTGGCTCCAGAAACAGATTGAAGGGTATGGGCTGATCATTAGTTTGCAGGAGGAGATTCAGTCTTTGTCAGAAGTATCGCTCAGTGGAGAGACCTACAAGCAGAAGGGGGATGACAAGTCTTCTGACCACTTACGGTTGGAAAGTGTCCTGGTCACAGCGCGCAGGCTTCAAGCTCTTTTTTCCCGGTTGGACACAGAGCAAGAGATGTCTCTGGGTGCTTCTCTCGCTTTGAACCCATGTGAGTACTCCCTCAAGCTACACTCAAAGTCTCTTGTGATGAGCGAGACGTTGGAGTCCCATGTTGTGGCCAAAGCAGATGCCCTTATCGCTGAGGTTCAGGCAGCTGTGGAGAAAGTGGATGAGAATGCAGCAGGCAAACATGCTCCAGAAAAGAGCTGGAAGAAATCTTTGCCAGCAGATGCTAGGTTGCCTGATGTCCTCAAGGTTGGCTTGCAGGAGATGTCGCAAGTCAAGGCCATGGAAACGGAGAAGTCCATGAACCTTCTGGACGAGGTCTGGACATGACTGGGTGGTGGACAAGGCAGTAATAATATTTCAGATATATTGTTATATGAATGTTACGATATTATGATGGGTGGGTGGGTAGATGGGTGGGCTCTCTCATATGGCGGCGGCTAGGGTCAAGTCAGCCCATACAGTGTACAGTGTACAGGGAAGATATTGTTCAACTTGCTCCATACCTTTCTAGGTTGATTGAGCTTAGTTTGGGCGTGTTTGCGTTCATGTAGATTATATACGTGGGCAGAAGGCGCAGTGCTTCTGTTATCTAAAGCGGCAGGTGTGGTGCAGGGGTGACATGTCCTGGAAGGGCCCTCCAATCCTTGCTGATGTGATGCATGTGTGTAAGGTAAGCCTTGGAGTCACAGGTTGCCTTGTTGCACATGAATTAACCGTCCACATTTTTTGTTAGTTGCAGGGGGCAGGAGAATTGCAAGACTACTGCCAACAAAGACGCTTGCATACCTTCCTCTTGGGACCCGTTGTAACTAGAACAAGCTGTTGGCCATTGCATAGGTTTTGAGATCTGCAGTCACGTTTCGTGATGTTCGTCGGTCGGTGATCGTTAGGGCTTTCACGTGAGAAGTCAGTTGAGACTTCACTTGCGATGTGGATGTGGGTTGTCGGGACCCCTTGCGTTCATCACATGTTTTACTTAAGACTTAGGCCTTTTTTCACTTAGGTTGGTGGGGTGGCAAACCGCAGTCAGTTCATAGACATATCTCGAGAGTGTGTGTGTGTGCCTGTGCCCTTTTAGGGTTGGGCGCCTAGAATCTAGAATCTATATAACACTAGATGCTAGGAATCTAGGCCAGGGTTCATGACAAACCTCCCCAGGGAGGAGACAGGCCTTTTCTGGCCGTGGTTGGATGCGTTCCTGAATTTCATGATACGATTTTGGATTGCATCTATTCAGCGCTCCATTCCTATGGTGGAACTGAGCTCCAACTTGTCTTCGCCCAGGTGATGAACAATTGCCGTGGCTTCATTAGCAAGGCCTCTGACACGCACAAAGCCAAGCTGAAGCCTTTGTTTGATGCGCTAGGGCTGGCTAGCAAACGGCTTGACCTTGTGCGTGCCTTCTTTTGCGAAGGGCTTCTTGTCCAAGCTCTCGCCAACAAAGAGAGCTCAGACTCTGCTGCGTGCATTCGTGCTGAGCTCGCCAGTGTGGCGGGCGGGAGGATTCAAGAAACTCTACTGCTTCCAAGTTTGTTGGAAGCTGCCCGGGATTTTATCGGGTAGGGGGCCTTCATGGCGCCTTTGTGTTCAAGCGTGGACAGAGTGACAGTTTTTCATGAGCTCGTGATGCAAAGTCACAGCACCAAACTTCTTGCTCCAGGGGATTGGGTTTCGCCCCGCATCACTAGGACACCAGCCAGTGATGAGTACTGAGTAGCGAAAGGTCTCCCCGCTTCAAAACAGCTTTGTGGTTCCTGAATTCTGGGAGTGTAGGGACGCAACCTAGGAATTGGACAATGTGTTCATGGCTTGTGGTTTAACCATGTTTCTCTCGAAGGTTCATACAGAGCCCCACCTCAGCCTCAGCCCTGCCCCTGGAGCTGTACGCATGTGCCGTACCGTAAAGACGTCAATGGATCTTCTGCCGATGTCCAGCAGAAACAAGAGGTTGGGCAGCAGCCGCTTGGGCAAGTGGGCAGGGAGGAAGTAAGTAAGATGCAAACGGCCTGAAAGAGTCTACGCTACTAACTAAACAAATCTTACGGTGTGTATACATACTGTATTGAAAGAAAACTGGCAGCTAGCAGCGCAAGATTATACTAAACTAGTAACTAGTAACTAGACCATCAGTAGACTTAGCCAGAACAAACAACCAAGAACCCAAAGAGGTAAGTGACAAAGGGAGAGAGAGCAGGAGCAAAGCGGGAATGAATATGATCAAACCGCAACACTAGCCTGTGGTTGGGAACCTGTTTGCCCAATTCAAGCCAGAGCTAGGGTTAAGGGGTACTTCAACCTATGGACCCATGTTTTCCTTACCAGCCACGCAATTTTGCCACACAACGCACCTGCAAAACCATCCAAGGGGATACTGGAAACACTTTCAACCAAACACAAGAGCAGCCATAAGCCCAAAGCCTGGAGATGTAGAATGGGTTGACTGTTTCATGGCCCAGAAACATACCTACATGAGAGTTCCCAGTTTGCCCACTGACAACACATGCTGCTTATTGCAGCCCTGGAGCGCCTATCCAATAAGCCTATGAAGTAAATTTAGCAGTCCTCAAGCTATAAAAAAACCATAAAAAACCATAAAAATATCATAAATCCAATTTTAGCCTTCTTCACAACCATAAAAAAACCATATCCTAAAGCCATAAAAAAACCATAAAAAAACCATAAAAAAATTATTTCTGGAAATGAGCCCTGTGCAGAGTTTATGAAGTCATAACGTGAAGCCCTTCCGCCGTCTCCGAGAGAGCGCGCTGCAGAATGGCCGCGTGGCGATGTTTGCCACCATAAGCCGCACCTTGGTCGGGGGTGGTGCTTGGTGACTATCAGTGACTCATGGACAGCTTGGTAGATGGCTGACTCGTCCATGAAAGGGTTGCATGAGTCGAGGAATGACATGCATTCTGATGATTCTTCATGTTGAATCGAATCACCCTGCCGGAGTGCTTCCGCTTCCCTGGGTACCTCTCGTTTAGTCCCCTGATCCTCCGTCGTGTTCACCGCGAACATGCCCGCGCCCGAGCAGTTGGGGCCCTGATCGAGGCCTGCGACGGGACTCAAGTTTGCTGATGTACCACATGCCTTAGCTGCGCTCTCCCTGGCTTGGCCGCGGCTGACCAGAGCAAACATGAAAACAAAAAGGGCCGCCGCCTCGTTTCCGCTTCCCGCCCCTCCGGACAACTGCCCTGCTAGCTTTCGTCACCTACCCCCGGCCTCAAGTATATATATATATATATACCTGTAAAGCCCTTGAAAGAAGCCTCTAGAACTGGTCCCGAACCTCACCTGTCTCTGCTTCGCTGGGCAAACAGGCAAGTACCAAAGAAGTGTGATGCAAGACGTGCATTCATTTCCATTATGCATCACATGCATCACATTGTTCTCTTTTTTGAATAATAATGCCTCAATGTTACCTGAGAGCAGAGCTTGTGTCAAGATTTACCAGTCAATTTCTCCATCAAACGTCAGCACTTTGACTTGGATGCTGAACCTTTTCTATATACAACCAGGTTTCTTCCCCCAGACCAGCGCACAGCCAATGTCAATGTTCACCTGTAGGGGGAATCGTCACGTCCATTTTTTTGGGGTGTTCTAGCGGAAGACGACCGGAACCTGCTGCAACTCACTCCAGACTCCTCCAAGAGGACCCTGACCGTTTCATCCGAGGACCCTGAGTACACGACTTTATGCGAACATGTCTGTGAAGGTCTTTGAGACCCTGATGAGTGCCCTGGCGAATGAGGCGTTTGTGAGGTTTCGTTCCTTGGTGTTATCGTTGAGGGTTCAAAGAACCAGGCAGTTCGTTGAAGGGTTTCATAGAGGTCAGTACATGTCCGTTTGGTTGCCCCAAGCTTTCATTCATACTCATACTTGAAACCCACAAAAAATGTAATACTCACCACCTTGCAGGTCTATCAGTCTCATGTTTTTCTCCTATGTTTCTAGGTTGGTTTAAACCAATGTAATATTCTTGTGTGATGCCACATGTGCATCCTGCATCAGGTCAAGACATCGCCTTTTACGACAATGTGCCTTGGATGTTGCCCACTGGCCGCTTGCACCAGGGAGTTGATTTTTCCACGACATTTGATTCGAAAATATTGGTGTGTACTAGAATAGGGCACCCCTCAACCAGTCTATTGAATTTCTTCCAAGGGGGGCCCTTAGATGAAGTCATTCATCTAGTCACCAGCAGATGACAGCGTGTCACATAGACAGGCGCACGGTACCAATGGTACCAGCAACATTGCCGCTGCACCCACTATCGACTAATGCACGTTTCGTATACAGACACGAGTGCATTCTGGACCTGCAAAGCCACCGGGCTGTCGCAGTGTCTCGGTTGACGGAGTTGAGTCCTGAAAGGTAGTCCCTGATGTGAAGTAAACGCACCAAGTAGCCCGTCCGAGTTGCCCCCAAACCAGAAGGATTTGAGGGGCTATGAGTGAAGTATGAGTTCGGTTTTGCTTTGGATGGCTCTTTTCTGCGAGGCACTTTTCAATCCAAGGAACGCATCAACAGTTCCATGCAACTTCCAATCCAGAACATACCAGCATGTCGTAGCAAGGCTTTGGGCAAGGCTTTGCCCAACATGCTGTGCCTGACATTCGGATCATCCTTCGGTTCACAGAAGTCACCAGCTGAGGGCCTGACTGGCTGACTGGGCCCTCACACTCCCCTCACTCTTCAACGATTTCGTCTTCGAAATCAGGCGATGACTGGCCAGATGACTTCACGCCTCAACAACGATCTGCGGCAGGCTTTGTCTCCGGTCACCCGGCCATCTGCGGTCAGAGATTGCGACGGGACGGTCGGCGGGGCGGTCGTCGTGGTCGGCGGGCGTGTTTGGCCACGTGTGGTGTCACTTGGTCGTTTTGGGAGCAAGAAGACGTCCTCCCTGAGCTGACAACACAAGACTGTCTTCTTCACAAGAGATTAAGGAATCAATCTTATCCCACCCATTTTGTTTAGGGCCTAGGGGTGAGTGATAGATCATAATCCTGATAATATAACCATATATATGAAGCATACGACCCACTGAATTGATTCGGCTTTGATGCTCAAAACGCGCGTTGACACTTCACCAACCAGTTCTCCCCGGTTCTCCGCACATGGCGATGCCACCATGGTCGTGTCGGACGTGTCTCGCACGACGTCGAGTGGTCGCGGTCGTCTTCGGAGAATCCTCCGGGAACCCGGAAAGGGAGAGGGAACGGATGCTGACGGCAGGCCCAAATGAGAGAACTATACAACATTCGTGCGGGCATTTTTGTTGAAACTAAATTGTTGGTTTCAATCAGAGGATGTCAGATTCGCAGACTCAAATCCAACCTCGAGTATAACAGGTAGGAGCAAGAGCCTCTACGATGGAAAACATATTCATTTTTACATCGTTAACCACGAATCATCGCCTGCAAGGAATTCTCATCATTTTCTGGTTTCATCTGCCACTGTGGTAGGACGGCGGGGTTGCTCTCTGCCTTACATCTTTGAGCCAAGCATAAGGTGGCCATCATCATGAACACCTTTGTCGCAAATATTGTTCCTTGGTCATCGAGTCATCCATGGTTTCGATTTCGGGTGGCTTCGTTCCGTCCTCGTTTCCCATTGATTTCGTTGGGCGTCCGACGCAGTCCGATTTGTTTCAGACAAAGCCCCTTCTGCCAAAAGAGTTCCCCTTCTTGTTGAACTTGAATCTTGTCCAACTGATGAAACGGTGGACTGGCAAGCCCCTTACAATCATGGTGAGGTGAGCGAGGAATAAACACCATCATTTTCAAGGTTTCCTTGCAAGGGATTTGAGGGATGGTGATGTTCACCAACTCGAGCCATCAGGGAGTGCGACCTTCAGCAAGATTGCACGGCAGGCTCACTTGCCCAGCGAGGGATTGTGGGATTTGATTCCACTCGATAAGAACAGGCAGATGAAAGTAGAACAGGTCTAGCACACCAGATAGAGGTAGAAACCCATGACCCACCGGTGGTCTACCCCGACTCTCGGTGTCCTGGGTAGTAGAGCTGTAGAGGTCAACCATTCTGGGCGACCTGACCACCGAAATGAGCAAAACTGCTAGTCGACTGGAGCATCCAGAGGATATGATGGGCTGAAACTGACAGAGGCTGAAACTGAGGCTGAAACTCAAGCGGTGACAACAACCCAAACTCTGGTAGATGAACATCCGCAGGACCATTGATGTGTCGCGATTGGTTGGATGTTTTTTTCTTTTAATCGTCTTTGATATGTTGAACAAGGATACTAACATAACACACACACACACAGACAAAAACCAAAAAGAACAAGTCAGGTGTGGGCTTTGGAGCAACTCTCCCATCCACAGGTGATGCTGGTGGCTGGCTTTACGATCTGCTTGCATGCCTCGTGGCGCTTGACAGTCTTGGCCTTCACAGTCCTCACGCCGGTGGTCACTGGGCTTGGTTAGGGACCAGGCCGGCGCCAAGAAGGCCAGATTTGGTGGACAACAGGCTCCTTTAGCATGGATGATGACAGTTCTCCTTGAACACCCTGAACCTGAAAGAACGAGGGTGGGGCCATGGCAGACTGCCCGATTTGTTGCAAGAGAACTATGGGTATGAAGGAATTGTGTGATGCAGCTGCTTGAATAGGGATGTTGTAGTTGCTTCCCGACTTCGAACTGGCAAGCACCTTCTGTCGTGTTGGTCTGTTTATCCTCTGGATGGTGTCGTGGCCCTGGGGTGTTCATCCATTCCTTCAAGAGAAGCGCTTGGACATCCTTTTGAGCCTGAGTGAGTCACTGGACACCAGATAGAAGTTACACCTTTGCAGACTAACAGTGACTAACATGGACCAGCCTGGGGGGGGGAGAGCTCTCTTGACCTTTCGTTCCGAGGAATCTCTCCAACTTCCACTCTCTTCCAAGCTCGTGTTCCTTTGACAAACGACGGAGGTGACGATCCAGGGGCCAAAAGGGAGACCGATCACCCAAAAACGGACTCCTATCAAGACGAAAATGGTTCGTTTCAACACTAGAACTAGGATCCGGTCCCCTTGTTGCGTGCTCGCCTTGGTCCCCTCGGTCCTCTTCTTCCGGCTGGTCCCTTGGTCCTTTGGTCTCCAATCCCTTGTCTCTTTTTGGCGTAAGTGTGCTGCGGTCCCCTAGTACTTTGCTTCCCCTCGACCCTCTTGTCAATGTATGCTTTGTGCTGTGCCCTCCCCCACGTAAGCCCTTTCCCACGCCATGAATCTGCACATAGTATCCTTACTTCCTGGCCTGCTATGACATCTTAATTCTAAAAGAACCTCATCATTAAGCACAGCTCCTGTTGCTTTTGTGAGCCACCGGTGGGTAAATTGGAACCCAGACAGAACATATTCTAACCTTAGCCGAATTTGTAGTCCAACCTTAGCTGTTTGGTAGGCTACTGAAACAACAAAAACTGGATCAGGAAACCCATGTGGTGGTTGAAGGCGCCTAGAATGAATATGGTTTTCTATTGGACAGTTAACATATTAAACACATATCATTCTGATCTCGGTACATCATGTACGCCTTCCTGAGAGGCAGAGGCAAACAGTTAGATGAACAATGACGAATACATATAATATATATATATATCTAGATTGTTTTTTTTTTTTTTTTTTTAAAGCTATATCTCCCTCTCTATGTTGTTTCGGTTTGATCACCCCAAAAGTCGATGCACAAATCCATGTTTTTCTTTTGACACGACTCCGGACCTCGCGGGCTGATGACGCGGTGAGACGCGGTGCGGCGTCGACGCGCAGACCGGCGGCGGATGACGAAAGCGGCGTCAACGCGGTGCCACCAGGTTCACATCTCAGCGCACTTCAGTGCCTGGGCGGCGAAGCTCATGTCCTCACAGCGCCTGGGCGGGCTAGCCGCCGGTGAGGAGTTGAGTACCAGGGTTGGAGCCAGGGGATTGAGATGGATTGAGGAGAGGAGCCAAGGGTTGGAGTTTTTTTTTCAAGTGAGGACATTTGATATGTGAGAGTTACAGCACTTATCTTAAGTTTCCCTAAAAATCTAGGAACCAAATGAATAGCTTCCTTGAAGAAGCGTGCACTATTCTGCATCCATATGTAGGAGCTTACTTGTACCTAAGCTGCATCTGAGGGAAACACTCAAAATATGCTAAAAGCCGACAGGGGCAACTGTCTTCAATTTTGACACTGGCGCAGCAGCTCTTATGAAAGATCCTTTCTTTGAAGCAGGCTTTCCAACCATGCGACCAACTCTGCCAACTGCCAACTCATCCACAACTCATCTCTCCTTGTTGCCTCCTACTGGTACCTTGTTCAAGTTCTTCTTGACGGCCTCATGATAAATCTTCTGCCACAAGAAAGCCACTCCTTTCCAGTACCATGTGCAGACCGTAGCTAATTCACAATGCGGTTGATTCTTTCATTGCACAACTGCACAACATGAAAACACTAAAGTGCAGAAAGGGTAGAAAGCAATGGTTACGTACCTTTGGCAAGCATGGCACAGAGAAGTGCTTCTTAAAGTGTGCTTGGTTTCTGTTATTGGTGCAAAGCCGCCCAGAACAGCTCATTTGCACTTCTGTCTTGTGCCAATGTACATGAAGCTTTGCAAACGGAGCATTTGTCAGGAGCGTCCACAAGCTCATAGTGCATGAACACACATAGAGCTCGTAAGGCTGGGCTATCTTCAAACTCATCACAATCGAGATCCTTGTACAGTACATGATCTCCTTTTGAAATGAAGAAGAAGCTTTAATCATATAGAGTCATCCAAAGTCTTCCGAGAAGTATCCAATTCCATTGCTTCAATTACAATAGCCTTGGGCTTCTTTCCCCTTGTTTGAGCCAATAGCCACTATTGTAAAACACTGTAAACGACTCTTGAATGGACTATACTACCCATACCTACCCATATATATATATATATACCGACGGTACACATCATTGATATAGACTGTACTGTATATAGAGAGTATGTAATTATTGTATTTTTGGTCTTGTACGTCATCCTTGCTAGAGTGTCTGAGAAATACACCAAGGCACGAGAAACCATTCTTTGTCCGACCACATGAGTACGCATTTGGAACGATCAGTGCCTGGGGCCTTTGGTCCTTTGGTCCTCTAAGAGCCAACGACCCTTGCGAACCTGGAAAACCCAACTCCCGGATGTTTCACCGACCAGAATGGCCCGAGGTGGACCTTCATGGCTGATGCGCAAGGCTGTGCCACCCAAGCGTTGACGAACATCCGCACCGTGCGGATGCCGCGGACCTCGGTGGGGAACTGGGAAGAGGGACACTGACGGAGGGGGTGGAAGCTACACAGGGGGACTTCCGGTTTGGGCGAAAAGCATGATCTCCACAGGTCAAAAGGTCCATGGCAGACCTTTTGACCTGTGGAGATCATGCTTTTCGCAAACACCAGTCTAAACTAAGGAGGCTTTTTGAGTTTGTAGCGAATCGCAAAAGAAGTGCCATAGAGCCATTCCTGCAGAGATGTCGACTCCCAAAACCATGGATTGCAATTCGACAAATACATACTTCCAAGGGTCCTTTCTCAGGGCGTTGGAGGGAGGCACCTGACTTGACCTTTGGTCATGTCAATTGTTGCGTGATAAGAGAGAGAGAGAGAGAGAGGGAGGGAGAGAGAGAGAGATGTTACAGCAGTTCTGAGATTCTCCACTGAGTTGTGCAGCTCAAACTTGATGTTTTCTTGCATCGGGCGCTCAGCCCAACAGGATCATACAGTACCATACAGCACCTAGGTTCCTTTTTTTGCATTTTTTCCGTTTCGCTGCGAAAGCCATGCCCTTATGGGCAAGCCCCGGTTTCAGCTCGACACCGGCTCGATACGGCTCGCGAGATTTTGAGGTTTGGTGCACGTCACTTGGAGCAGGAGAAGTATGAGCCTTGGTGAGACTGAAACGGACAGGCACGGCACTCGCTATCGAAGCTCGAAAACTGGTCGCGCTTGCGGCATCTTCAGATGGTCGCATTTGGCGCCTGAGGGGCCAAGCTGCTCTGAAAGGGGTCTCTTGAGGGTCGAGTGGACACAGCATGACTTCGCCATCGAGGGTCGAAGACTGGAGATCTCCCCCCACCATTCAATTCTTGAACGTTTGAAGATGCTTGAAGACGTTTGAAGGTGGGGAGGCAGACCGTGATGGCCACTTTCCCGGTGGAAGGCGGTGGTTTTTGGGCTCTCGACCGATGTTCCGAACCTCCGCCGTGGCGCCGTGGGATGTTCGGACCGGGCCCGGAGGCTTCGGGAGGGTACATGTCACCCCAGGAGTACGGTGTACGTTGACCTTGAGGTGGTGCACGGTGCACGTGATCTGTGCAGCCACTCTTGCTCAGGGATGGTGCTTTGTCCATCTTTGGAGTTTCTAGGGGCTGAATGGCCAGAGGAAGCCAGGACGAGGACCTGCCAAGTAGCAATGACGAGGCAGACTCAGGTTCTGACTTTTGGGTAGGTGACCATCCGTTTAAATCATTCAGTGAGACCTCTGGTGGTAGATCGAGCGAGAGTCCAGGGGAGAAGATGCCTGACGTCATTGGGGGCGTGAGCGTTGACTCTTTGCCAAGCCACACGAAACTACCCTGCAATCAGTGTCTCTTCTATGCATCAAGTACTGGGTGTATGAAAGGCACGAGATGTGCTTTTTGCCACCACACGTGTGTATCCAAGGGCAGCAACACGGCTCGACCAAGAAGGACGAAACGTGAACAGTACAAGGTGCGGGTGCAGCAGCTCTTGCAGATGCTCAGTGCTGATCAAGGACCACCAAAGGTTGTGGATGCATTGCAGAAGGAAGCGCAAAGGAACCGCTATGCACGAACTCTTTGTCAAGGCCTTCTTGGTGATTGGCTTGAGCACCATGAGAACCAGCGTCGTTCAGCGGTGGCTGCAAGACCCGCTGAGGCGAGGGAAGACTTTTGCAGGGCTTGGCTCATCTTTTCTTTGTGAGTAGATCGCAAGTGTGTCGTGACTCTTCTCCAAAGGAGGTGCAGGTGAATACCGCACATGAGCCACACCGAGACTGTACAAATGCAAGCATGTACAAGCGAAGGCGGAGTCCTGGCAAAAAGGACCATTCCTGGGACGTTACGCTCTCCTCTAAGTTACGATCAAACACGTGACGAGGAGGACCGCACTGGGTGTCGCTTCGGAACGCAGGCCGGTCCGACGCCGTGGTGAGCCGGTTCTTAACCTTAGCCGTGTGGCTTCGGGTCCCCTCGTGCGGATCGGTGTCACATCGGATCGGATTCACATGGATGAAACCCGTGGAGTTTAAGAAAAACAAGTGCATCGCTACTAGTAACAAGAAGCTAGTAGAAACAAGTGCATCGGATTACATTGGTTTTTTTCCCCACAAGTTCCAAGCTAGACAAGTCCCCCACCAGTCTGCTCTCTTTTGGTGCAATCAGGTTCAATCATGTTCAATAGTCACAGGCGGAGGACTGTCCTCCTTTCCTCTCACCCAAGAATCAAACCTGCTGCCAGGGTATCCTTTTCCTCCCTCCCTCCTAACGACCTTCACGCGCAACGCGATCAGCGATCCGCTCAGGAACTGCATACTCGGAAGTCCATGGACGTCGGAGCGGGGCGGGGTTTCCTGACGTGGCGCCGGTTCCCCCGGCCGCGGAAGTTTCGATCGATACGTCGAAAGAAGGACGGAGACGTGGAAATGCCCGGACCTTTGGCCTTTGCGGACCTTAAGCTCTTTGGTTTTTCTCCTGGGGGAGCTACCCTTAATAAGCCTTATAGACTGAGTTGATGCCCTAGCATTTTCTATAAACGAGCAGATTGAACGTCTTGCTGTTTTTTTTCATTTTCTAGGAAGTAATTTGAGGGAGATGATAGGTCATGGTCATTCGGCTTTGCATTTCCTAGGAGGTTTTGAGGAAACAGTTCTAGAACCAAAAACGCATTGTCTAGGGACAAGCGGACAGTTTTCTAGGGGAAAGCGGAGAGCAAAGAAGAAAAGAACACTTTTAGCTGACATTGCATTTTGAAGCATTGAGCCGCAGTTTCCTAGAAAATTGGTTTAATTAGAAATGAGGATTGGATGCCTGAGCAGGCTCCTAGAAAATGTTTTCTGGGATGTCCATCCATATTTGTTATGCAGCTGTCAATGTTCTCCTAGGAAAATGAGACATGGATTTGTTTTTGCCTGCTAATAATTTTGAAGCTGAACCTGGACAGATAGTTTTCTAGGGACTATTTTGGAAAATATCGTTTTTGGACCCCACCTTGAACTCTAGATCTTTTTGCTGAACGCACCATTTTCTACCCCAAGACAAATTTGCTTTGTAACCACCTCACCTAGAATCCTACTAGAAAGTCTGGCGGCCCAAGTTCTCCATGAAATATCAACGAGGATGAAAAAGATGACTGGGTGATGGAAGTCGCTTTTTCTTTTTTGTCTTGGTTTGGTTTGGTTTGCGGATGGCGCCCTCGGATGGCTTCATGGTTTTTCGTGCTGGGGCTGGAGCCGGGCCACGCTTGAGTGAAACATTGGTGTTTTACACCATTCGTGATTGATGTGGGATCGGACTCACAGAATCGCAGGACTCTTGAGTGCATGGGGTCAAGGGGGATCGACCTTGCTCTCCACCTTGGTGCAACTTGGTGCATCCTTCGTGATCATGTGCCGTGGCTGCGAACGACCTGAGAGATGCGAAAGATGAGTTGATGCGAAAGACCAACCGAAGTGAGCTTATCAAGTGAGGCCTAAGTGTTTTAAAGGTTGCTCTGCCCTCCACCCTAATAGCGATGGCCGGAACAACCTAATAGCCTCTGGGATATTCGTTTCTTCATATTTCTTCCCACAGTCTCACCATTGTCGTGCTTTTCCTTTTTCGTTTTAGGATCTTTCAGGAATCCCCTTACGTGCTTCCCTCGTAAAGCTGCTTTGGATGTGCGAACTGGAATAATGGAGATTGAGATCCAGTGGGTTCATGCGCTTTGCCGTATATATATATATGTAATATTAATATGTTTTTTCAAAATATACGTATATATATATATATGTATTTTAATGTTTCTTTTTATACCTGCCAGTAATTGACAGGACAAACAAATCTATGTGGATTGTTGGGACAGTCGGACAACCATGTACAACTTTGTTTCAGTCTAGGCGCTCGATGGCTTCCAAAGGTTTTGAATGCTGAAAACTGTACAGGCTACCATCCAAGACTTTTTCCGATCCGCACAGCATCTTCGCAAGTGGTTCTTGTTGCTGTAGATTACGCATACAGACTGTGGTCCTTTGGGAGACGAGGTAGAGGTTTCTTGGAATGCTTGAGTTTTCGGGAGCTTTGAACCTGCTCATTCGACAGAGGTGCTACGGAGGTAACCTGGCTCTCCGGCATGAGTTCAATGTGGGCACCATCATCACATTCTCCTATCTTTGGAACAGGCAGGGAGCCTGGAACTAGGCAAAACATATTTGTCAATGATGCCAGATGATGCGGCAAATCACTTCCTCAACGTCAACTTGTTTAAAGAAAGATATGTCGATCTCTTGCTGGGGTTGTTCATTCAGAGTGCTGGACAGACTTGAAAGGTCTTGGAAGCATACATGTATATGATCTAACAGTCAATAATTAGTCAATAAATGGCTATATATATATTTATTAAATGAAAGTATCCTTAGTTACTTCATCGCTCTTTCCTTGTTGGTGCACGGTGTGTTTGCGCTTCGTGTGCCTGGATGTTATCCACTTTGACAGAACTTTATCTTGGGTTGTCTCCCATATGCAGTAAAAGTCTCAGCATGCCCAGACTATACACACATATAAGAATTGTTCTTTTGATCCCCCTGGCTTGACACCAGAGCACTTCTGGTTAGCATCATTGCAGGGACAGCACAAGCTGTGCTGGCCGTACTGTTACTTTTTTAAAGCTAAGTAAATGAAACACGTCTCCACAGTCCACATGATGGCACACTTCTCAAAACCTCCATCTGCCCAGTGGCCTGTGTCAAATGGGTCCGGACATGTGTACGCATCTTGGATGCGTCTAAGATTGTTGAGATGAAAAGATATGGCCAACTGGGTCATGGCACCAGAAGCCCCTTAATCCCTGGTAGGTTGACCTCTCCAGTAGTCGAATACGACCTATTCTGTTCATGTTCGGTGGTCAACGGTTGCCCGGTGCCCACAGCATCCCACAGCGCCTTTTTTTCATGGTCCATGCGGCAGCATGCTCGGATTGATGCCGCATGGTCGGTGCCTGATAGCCGTTTCGCAGGTCTGTGGTGCCCGGTAGCTGTGAAGGTTCAATGATTGGTGTCGAAACAGGAGTTCCAAGCTGCGCGGAATCAAACACAGGCCTTTGGACTTCGGCCCCTGTTTCACCATCAAGGGTTCGACCCAGTGGGTCAACGCACCAGTTTAACCGGTGACAAAATGGGAGCCGAAGCTTGAAAAAGCCGCAAACAACTGAACACAGGGTGAAAGGCCGTGAAACACATGTAAAGATTAGGTCTTGGAAGTTAGGAGGTGAAATGCGTCCTTTACCCTAATGCATCAGTTTAACCTATCCTTTGGACTTGCTGGGAGGTGACGGAGGGTCAGGATGGGTAGGTCCACATAGACCCATATAATGCCCATATAATGATATCATGTACTATATCAGGTGAGGGTGAAGTGTGGCCTGTGCTCGAACGTGCTTGTTCAATCAGTTCTTTGGACTTCCTGATGTACAGTACAGACACACATATATTTTGACTTCCTGGACTATTTTTTTGGTACAGTGGAGTGTAATACGGCCGCGGGGCGGCACCTCTCTCCAGGCTCAGTGGTGCCTTCACCTCCCTCAACGAGAACATCAACCAACCGGTGAAGGCCGTCAGCGCGGGGCTGAGGTGCGTGTCGCAGCTCCGTCCTGAAACTGCAGTGCCAATACTGGAATGGTTCAGAAGGGTTGGAAAGAACACGCATCTCAGGGAAAACATCATGAACCATACCATTCTACATCTACGGTGGGAAAAAAGAGCCTGGCAGGAAAGATGCCTAGTTTGGCACCGCCGCGATGCCAAGCTCTACTCGGACCCGAAAGTCGGAATTTGAGGCGCGGGCCAGCGGGTCTTTGAGCTCTTGGATCTGAAGCCGGACATCCGTGAGGACTGGGAGAGTGGGCCAGTTGAGGTTTCTCTCATTGAGTGCGGCTTTGCATGACTTGACCCAGTCACATGAGGTCCTTGACCTGCAGGAACAAGAGCCGTGTCGTTGTCTCGCTTGAACTCCGCGGCGTGCGAACTCGATGCTTTTTTTGCTCGGCTCGGCTCGTTGAACTGTTTGGGGAGTTGAGGCGGCGTAGTTAAACCGTTGGAGGCCTGGACTCTTGGACGGGAGAACTGAAGGGGTCACCGTCCTCCAGTGCGGAGTTCGAACAGGACCTGGGTGAGCCCTTCCCGGAGCAGTCCAAAGAGGCACGAGCCGAGCTCTGACGCCCATCCAGCGATAAGGGTGTGGGCACATTACGCCGGTTTACAGTGTATGTAGTGACCTGATGTGACTGACTATTGGTAGCAGAAGATGCAAAGAGCATGCAAAGAGCATATTTTTCATACAAGCGTGTAGGTTTCCATGTGCCATGGATGTGAGTATGAGTCAAACAAACCATCCTATGTAGTGCATGTAGAGGCTCTGCAATGGTGATTGATCTCCCGTGTCCCTGCTTCACAGGTGGGTATCCGGTTTGAGAATGTCGAGTTCGCCTACCAATCCAGGGCAGACAAGAAGGACCGAGCCTCGGATGCCGGCGAGCGAAGATCCATGGAAAGGTTGTAGATGGTTTCACTTTTCGGGCGACCTGGTTGCTTTTGGACTGATTGAAGGTCCAGGTAGTGTTCACCTCGACTTTCCGAGTGTATACCATCCTCCCCCCCCTTTCGCACCTCCGTTCTCCGGCGGCACAGGTTCTCTCCGGCGTGACGCTGGACTTGCGTGCGGGGAAGACGACGGCGGTGGTGGGGAAGAGTGGCTGTGGAAAGTCCACCCTCAGCGGCTTGGAGAGCGCTGCGAGCGGCTGCGGGGAACGCGATTCGCAGATGGAATGAAGGTGGTGCGAGCGGGGAGTGAAGGGCATAGGCCTCGAGGTCTCCCAAGGGGCTCAGCATCCTGTGCCACTGTGCCTGTTAGATTTTCTGGTATGAGGGTGGGGGGTCTATGGATGGTAGCGATAGGAGTGCTTACACTTGTTGATACTGGCCGGCCTAATAACTACTATCGCTACTTACTGACACTGACCGCGGATGCTGGGGCTGCCTTGTCAAAAGTTTTCACTTGGGGTTCTGTGCTTTTCGCCTCCTGCCATGAATCTGTTTGGCCATAATGCTTGGAGGTTTGCGTGCTGCAATTTTCTAGGCCAAGCAAAGTTCTGCCCTGGACGCACAGGGTATAATTGCTTAAAGTCTACGACTGGGTCTTTTACTGTGACAACTACATGCAAGCACCGCACTGGCACCGCACTCTTGTCCGCACTGCCCTTCACATGGATCCAAGATTTCTGGATGGATCCAAGACTTCTGGACAAGAGTTTTCAGAAATCTTGGATCTTGGATCCATGGATCCAAGATTTCTGGACAAGAGTTTTCTGAAATCTTGGATCTTGGATCTTGGATCCATGGATCCAAGATTTCTGGAGAATAGTTTTCTGACATCTTGGATTTTGGATCTTGGATCCGTGGATCCAAGATTTCTGGACAAGAGTTTTCTGAAATCTTGGATCTTGGATCTTGGATCCGTGGATCCAAGATTTCTGGACAAGAGTTTTCTGAAATCTTGGATCTTGGATCTTGGATCCGTGGATGAGCTGTTCAGACTTGAGAATCTCAAGTCTGAAATCCCAAGTCTGAATTTGTCTAAGTAAAGAACATGAAATTCGATGCCCGGACACTGTTTTGGTTGCGTTGAGCCAAGCAAATGTTTGGTAGCATTGAGGCAAGCAGATGTTTGGTTGCATTGAGGCAAGCAGATGTACATTGGATCATTGCATTGGGTTTGAAAAGTGTTGGAAACACCATCAAATGTGGATCTCAGGGGGGCGTACCATATATATATATAAACATATGAACAAAGGAGGACAATGAATAGGACCAACACTGGGAAAAACAAGGACAACTAGGACCTGTTTTTGGCCCCATTGTTGGTCCTATGTTTTACTATTTTTTCAGTATTGATGTCCACGTTTTTAACGTGTTTTTGCTTTATATATATTTTTTTTGGTTTGGGGGGGGGGGTAAGTTTTTTTAAATGTCTTTGCTAAACTTGCAGTTAGAAAACAAAACATGTGCACACTTGGAAAAATTGAACGCATGTGAAAAATATTTATAGGGCCTTATGTTTTTTTCTTGATATTTTTGTTCCTATTTGTTTCCTGATGTGGATGCTATTTATTTACACAATTTTAGCATGATTATTGTATTTTGCTTGCACCCAGGGAAGCTTAACTCCCTCAACATGACACCAGAGTGACTTTCCTTTCCTCGGCTCCAAAGCTGAGTGCTGAAGAACGGATTGTCGCAGATCCGCTGGGGGGTCGATATGGGTGACGAGTTCGTTTGGGCATGGACTTACGGCGCTTACGGGCTCATGTTCTTTGCCATATCATTGAGTTTGATCATGGCACTACTCTAAGATGTGAAGATCCACAGCTGCCAACCAGCCAACCAACCCTTTTCAGTTGACCCCCTACCCTTGAGCAGCTTGGAAGACACCCATCTGCTGCGAAAATGATCCGCTCCAACCACCGCGCTCCTTCCAACGCTCCGCTCCAACCACCTCCTTCCGGCTCCGCATCGGGCTCCGTCCAAGCCGCGTTCTCCGTCGAGCTGGGTGGAAAAAGAACACTGGCTCCTTCGATCCGCTCGGCGAAACGTTCGATCCGCGATGCCCGAGCGGAGTGGCGTAGCGAACCGAACGTTCCGGGTCGTATGACCAGGACCTGACGTTCGGTTCGCGTCCGTTCGGTTCGCTCCGTCAGGTAAGCTCTTGCTGCGCTTCTACGATCCTCAAAATGGCTCGCTCCTTGGCACGCGGCATTTCCCGAAATTCAGCGGTCGGGAGTGTCCAGTGGCCCTGGTTACTCCCAAGTTGTGGTCATAACATGTCATGACTGAGTTCCTGATACAGTATGTTTCATCTCAGAATCCGAGTTAAAGCATTGGTGTTCATGCAGATTTCCATGCACTGCATGCTTTGCGCTTCTTTGTATCAACCTGAAGCTGGGCACACCGTTGAGAAGACCCATCCAACACACTTCCTCTTTCATTTGCTCCCGGACAGCTCGGCACACCGGTGACAGCAACGGGTCGGGTCGTAAGCGGAGGGTCTTCCTGAACGCCACGGAGTTGCAGCACATGCACCTGCACCAATACCGGAGCAAGGTGGGCGTGGTCTCTCAGGCCTGGAGGGCTGCTGCAAACACGGGGAGGGCTTTTCCACCGCGAAGTGAGGAAAATGAATTCTCCAGATCTCCAAGTTGAACGTTTGCTTTCTTCCTTTTCTCGTTTGATTAGTGAGTGTGTAAGATGAATATGTACACATCTAATATCATCTAAGAGTATATATAACATAATGAATACACCTTGAAACAACATACTTGGTGCGTTCCTTAAAGCGCAGTCGGCCAGTCGGCCAGTTCTCGCAAGTCGGCATGAAGTCGTCACGTCGAAAGCGATGGACTCCCACCACTGACGGTCTGTTTCTCCGGTTTTCCAAAGCGATGATTCCCACCCATCGCTTCAAGCGATTGGGGAGAAGCATCTCGGAGATGGAGCCAACAATGTGAGATGACGGATATGCTGATTTGCTATGTGGGTGAATTGTGGAAACAAATATACACACAGGGGACACAGGACACAGGACACACACACATGCATACCTCAGCCAGACCGCACGAACACGTCCAAAGGCACATCGTCCAAAGGTGTTTGGTGGTCGACGGCGCACGCAAGAATCGTGGGTTGAACGAACTGAGAAGAGCAAGTGAGCCTTAAGTGATGCTGCCGCACCAGGGAGAGATGTCAATACAAGCCATGGGGCCAAGAGATGTCACACCAGGGTCAGTTTGTTGTTGCAACACTTGCAGTTATATGGGTGTGTATTTTAACGGAATTTCATAGGGTCCTGACCCCACCCCATGGGTTCTTGTCCTATGTCCCTTAGACCTATGCAGGTCCGTGCCTCTCATAGGTCTCCATAGGAGTTCATTGGGCGAGGTGACCCTCTTTGGACCCGGACGTTCTCGCAGCTCTTGAGGACACCCAGCTCTTCCGTTCGACCGTGGCACAGACTCTTGGTGCGTCAGTGGCCGGTGAGACCGAAGGCTTGAAATAGGGAGGTTCCACACATGGAGGAAGGCTTTGTGGTTGAGGATGGTTCGGGATTTCTCTTTGTGGTCCATGGAGGAAGGCTTTCTGGTTCTCCACACATGGATGGTTCAGGGGTTTCTCCATGTTTCTCTCCATTTTTCAGCCAAAGCCATCACTGACATGCAGACCAGGGCTTTTCCACGCTAAGGACATGCAGATCATTCCATGTGACCACTCCTCCGACCCCCCCAACAAAACCAACCATTTTGGTACGGCCCCCCCCATTTCCGCCAAGCAGGCCATGTGTCGGCTGTGCCGAGAGGTGTCTGAGAACACACTTCCAAGGAACATCACCTATGGCCTGCGGGATTCAGAGTTCACCCACGAGGACACTCAACAGGATGGTGCCAGGATGGTGTTCAATGTTTGGCTTTCCCTTTAAAGATGATTCAACTACCTTTCCTTATTTTGGTGGGTGGGCTTTTTGGTGCATTCGTGATCGGCCAAGATCTGAAGATCACGTCTCCAGAAAAGTGGTTTCCGAAGTCATCGACGTTGTTCATTGATGGACTCGTTTTAGCGTCCTACGAAACCACTAAGCTGATTGTTGATTTCACTTGGACCTTTGGAAGGTTCTCGTTCAGCTCGAGCCCTGGTGGACAACTGTAGAACGCTCGCTCGCTACACAAGTACTACACAAGTGGCGGCCGGTGTTTGGCTCCGCGTTCCTCCGCGTCCACCAATTCAGGCACACGGAGCCGCGGACGAAGACACGGCCGAACGAAGGTTCCGGTGTTTTGGGAACTCCTCAGGTCGTTCTCGGTGTTTTCCAGGACATGGGGAGTGCCACGGTTCACCGCGCTGGCGTGCAAGTCGAGCAAGTGATGTCGGTCGAAGCGCAGTGGGATTCGCCTCTGCGTTCTCTCTGGTGCTGTCTCTGCGGTCTGACCATCGCACCGACATCGAGCTGAAACAGCACCGACCTGGTCGAACGATGGTGGTGCCGTCTCGGCCGAACACGTTGGATCCAGGACGTGGTTCGGGCAGCGAAGCTGGCGAACGCACAGGAGTTCATCGAAGCATTGCCCGAGGGGCCGGGGACCCAACCAGAGGGGGGGATGAGTGAGAATGAGATGAGGTTGGAGGGAGAAAACTCCCATGCTTCTCAGATTTTTGAGGCGCACGACGGACGATTTAGAGCTGGATTTCTTTTGGACCACTTAGACTTTGGTATGGCTAAATGACACTGGCAAACAAGACGCTGCGACGTGCAGATGTCAGAGCTTACTCTCCCAAGGGCAGACTCAAGCACTCAAGCCCAGTATCAGTTCTCCAGACCTGAATTACGTGTGCTACAGCCTACAGTTGTGGCTCCCTGACTGTGTCAAGGTATTGCATGAAAAAGAAAAAACGAAAACAAACGAACCTTTGCGGAGTTCCGAAAATAAAAGAGAACGTTTCAATCATATTGCTTTGGTCTGTTCCGCTTAGAATCAATTCAAACCGGTGAGCACATGTCCACAGGTTCCGCTGCCGCGCCGGTGCACGGTGTCAGGTACAACACCATGGTGGGTGAGAGCGGGCACGACTTGAGCGGCGGCCAGAAGCAGCGCCTCAGCATTGCCCGTGCTTTGGTGCGAAGGCCCGCTAGTCGAACGGTGCGTCCCTACGCCGGTTTTCTCGGCTCAGCTCGGCATGACGGAGATGACGGTGGAAACACGGTGGAAACACGAATGACTTTGCAGAGGTCCTAAGGACCTTGTGGGACAGATGCTGAATCTTTTCTGCTGAGATGGTGTTCTTTTTTTCTCGCAGGCTAATTTTGAGCAGACCTTGACCTCGTGGGTTTGGCAGGCTTGAATGAGCGTTTGAACATGATCCAGATATCATCGACACAATTTCTACTCAATTTGATGACACCACTGTTTTTGTTTAGATCTGTTTCGTGTCGATAACAAGCTGCGACGCGTTTCTACGGGATGAAAGCTGTGCCTGTTTGAAGCTTGCTCACACGCTACGGGATCCATCATACGGCGATCCTCTACGACCAGTGCAAAGCAGCATACAGTGCAACCCCCACACAGCTTGATTTGATCCTGGTTCGGGGCATTTTTGGGAGCCAGTGTCAGTTGGATTCAGTTTGTCCCAAGAAACCGAGTTTTCCTTTTTTGATTTATAGTGGGCTGAGAGTAGATGGCACTAGCCCCAAAAGCTGGTTTATGCCATCTCCTCTGAAACCAATGGATCTTTAAACCCTCAAACTGCTGAGAAGCTGAAGTGACTGGGTGCTTGCAAAGTGGGACGGACAGGTGTTTTTCTGGATGGAAGGCCGCATCTCATGCGGCGCAAAGAGTTTTCGGACGTCAGAAGTGGAGGCTACAAGTGGTCGGGCCCTTATGTATTATGGATCCTTCTGATTCCTTTAAGAGCGATGGCCTCCAACCGAAGGGCGATGGCCTCCAACCTATCAGGAGATGATTCGACACCCATTGGAAGAGATGGCCTCCACTCATTTCAGCCTTGATCTTGGCCAAACATGTCACCGTTGAGGCCTCGCATCTTGCTGCTGGATGAGGCCACATCAGCGTGGCATGTCTGGAAGGAGCTGGAGAAGATGATCACTGTGGTGTGTGCAACACGCCAATTGGGGATGCCCATGGATGCCCCTGGATGCCCCAACCAACGCTGGAGATGCCCCAAACAAATGCCGAGTTTCAGGGAAATCCCGACACGCATGGACATCTCCAGCGTGGTTTCCATTGACTTTTCACCACTAAAAAACGTGGTTTTCTGCGTGAGTTTCCTGTCATTCTTCAACCCAATGCCATGGTAGGGCTCATGAAAACGATGCATTCAGAAGAGTTGGGAGAAGAGTTGGGAGCCGGTCGTTCCTGGTGGTAGGGTTTGGATGCATCCGCGAAATGTGGATCCATTGTCTCTGGTCTTTCCACCTCATCGAAGACAGACCAATGAAGGAGCTCAGATACCTCAATGACGGAGCTCAATGAAGGGCGGACGGCTCCTTCCTTGCTTGTCTGAAACAAGCTTTGTTCTTCAGTGGGTGAGAAACTCAACTGCCGATGAGTCCTCAAATGACATGCTTGAAAGAAGAGGGCTCGGGCTCATGGCTTATGACTTCTCTGATCCAAAGCTAAGGCTTGCGATTTGAGCATATTTCAGCCATCTGCCTTCATTAAGTATTTATATATATATATATATACTACTGACCAGTAACTCTGCCCTGTGGGTAGCCGTGTGGGTATGTCACTTCACTAGACAGCAGTATAGAGAGGTATCCAAGTCATGTTGTTGCCTTCCCAGGTTGGATGCCGAGAATGAGGCCTATGTGCAAGCAGCGCTGGATGACGCTCGATGCGTGCGGGGAAGGAAGGAGGTCGATCGCGCTGTGGAGCGACCTCAAACGAAAGGAACTGTCTCTCGAAGTTGGATGGGATGTAGAGATATTCACCCGAATGCTAGCAGTGTCCAACACTGTGGAGGCACCATCCTGAACTTCATTCGTCACCAACTGAGGAGCTGATGAAGCAGATGCAGGGGACCTGCAACCTGGCTGGTGAGGTTGCCCCATGAGATGAATGCAGCTGGTGTGAGGGAAACACGGTAGGGATGGGCACACAGTGACACACTGGCTTGGACATCCGTTTGGAAATCGCAAACGATCACACGCGAACTTTCTTGGAAAAGGAAGACAACATCCTTTACACATGATACACTGCTGCTGGCCTGTTGATCTACTGGAACTAGCAAGGAGTCGTGCAAATACCACGATTTCCACAAGGCGTACACAAGGTCTTGATCAATCACGGGACCGGGCTGGCCAAAGACGGCAAATAATACCATCCAATACCCAGGCTTTGGTAGATAGAGCTTCAGAGTCACGACTGCGCAAAAAGAGAGCAATGGTTTGGTTATGAGCGGCATTCAAAAAATGCTCCAGCTTGGTTTCTACATGTTTGTACAAGCTCATCATCTAATCTGATCACCTGTTGCAATCGACCAAGAGTTTGATTGGCCGCTTCGGCAGCTTCAGCTTCTCTGCACTGGGTCGGCAGCGAGAACTCCCGCAGGAATCCCTGGCCAAGCCCACCGGCCACTCATGCTTTTGATGGAACCGATGGACCGCCGAGGGCGGACCGCTGACCCCCCTCGGGGCGGGACGTACGCGACGCACGCGACGCACGCGGCGCACGCGGTCGTGGGTGGCATGGCGCCGCCCCCCAAAGGTACCATCATGGTGATCGCGCACCGACTCTCAACCATCAAGGATGCCGATTGGATCATCGTCCTGCACGAAGGCCGTTTGGAGTGGAGGGTTCGGAAGTTGTTTTGTTTCTCTCTTCGCGCGTTTGGAGGCAAACATGGGGTGTTTTCGAAGATTGTTTCGAGAGATGTTGACCAGAAGCAAGGCGTGCTTGGATGTTGACCAGAAGCAGGACACCCTTTCTGAAAGTGCCAGTCCATTAGAACAGTCTCGACCCATGCCCCTGATGCCCCTGGCCTCAGGGCAAGTGGCAGAAGAAGGCACTCACGATCAGTTGTTGCAAATCAAGGCGGCGGGTGGCGAGCGCAAGCCTCACAAGCCTCAACTCGTTGCGCTCGTCGTGTTTCGCTGCTGAGCAGCGGGTTTCACCGCTTAAGCAGGTGTCCTGGCTGGGCAATCAGTCTGATCTCTTGTTCACACCCGTGTTTTGCAGTCAGAGCTCCGTGCGTAGTTCCAGTCAGAGCTCCGTTTTTTTTTTGGGTGTTCGATGCTGGGGAATTCTGAACACATTCCTTTAAGGAAAAAGCACCCCACCTCCACCCGGCTTCTCTGGTTTCGACAGATTCGCAGAGCCCACACAACACGAGAAGGTGCACGCTACCTAAGACAGACACAGTGCATGCACGCTACCTCATGGTTTCGACCAGGCCATGGAGTCTAACGGATTCCATGAGAAACGGATTCCATCGGATTCCCACTAGTTGCCAAGGGTCTTGAAAGTGGCGGTTAGGACTGAGGAAGGGATTTCAATGGATTTCATGATTTCCTCCTCCAAACAAAACACGGCCCCTCTTGTAGAACAATCTCTGATTGCGGAGGTGACTGCGTGGTTTCCTGCAGTTGAGCATTCTCTGGTGCCTGGTAAACACCAGGGCAGTACAGGCAGAGGTACAGGCAGTGATCCTCTTGGTCTTGAGGACATGATGAATCTTGAGTCTGGGTCTCTGTTCGTAGCGTCCTTTGCTCCGTTCGTAGCGATGCCCTTTGCTCCGTTCGTAGCGAACCTTGTTGCCGTTCGTAGCGATGCCAGGAGCCCCGTTCGTAGCGTCCAATCGCTCCGTTCGTAGCAGTAGGGTGAAAACCCGTTCTGTAGCGTTCTCCTGTTGTCACTGTTGTCCATCTCTATGACATAGACTGACGTTGTCCTCCCCCCTCCCACTTCATTGGATACGCACCGTCGGACGTTGTCCTCCCCCAGGATGGGCGGTATGCCGCCTTGATCACTCGTCAACTTCAAGGCCTAACTGAGCTTGAGAAACGAAGGCTTACTCAGGTTGTTGATCTATGGCAGCTTAACTTCCACAGCAAGACATCAGAACTCAGTCAGCAAGACTTCATGGGGCATCTGGTCCTCCCCTTCCTCCGTCCGTTCCGACTCGTGCCGAGCAGGGAATGAGGATGAGAGCGCCAATGGCGCAAAGACAGTGCCGTGGAGTGATGAGAATATTGGAGAGGTTCAAGTTAGCCTCCAACCTGCTAGTGACGGCCTCCAACCTAGTAGTGATGGAGGTTCAAATATCCAAGATCAGGTCTTGGATTTGACAAAGATTACAGGTCAAACTCAAACACATAATTATATATATATATATACATAGTGGTAGGCATGTCATTGGGCTGAAGACACTATCCTTGACGGCGATGTTTGCACAGCAGTGGCCAAGAGTGCAATCGTTTGAGATTTTATGACATGTCTTTAGATTGATTGGTCGTACTCGTAACTCTGCAGGTCCAGATATTGAAACCGTAAAAGAACTTTGCTGGCGAGTCACGCAAAAAAAACCGTAGAAGAGTTTTCTTCTTTGCATGGGGTCTTTCAACTAGGCTTCTTCCGCACGTTTGGTTGGTGATTCGTTTTCACCAACCAAACTCTGGCCGGTCATGGAAGCCCCATGGACAGCGTCCAGCTGTGCCGGGGAGTGGCTAGGTGTCACAAGCCATCCAAGAGATGCTCCAAATCTATGCTGCAGTGCCCAAGGAGCAGAGGCAGGAATTGTTCATGGGAGCCTTGGGTCTCTATGGTCTCTATTGCCGATGGGTTCGGGGCAGTTGAGCACGTCCTATTGCTAGATTGGTCATGCATGGAAGTGAAGAACACATCTTGGTCAGCGCAGGTCTTGCTTTGATGTTTTTCAGAACCACGTGTGCCAGCCAATCAATCCAAGGATTCGCCAAGGAAGCGAAGAAGCAGAGCTGAGCTTCGATGATTTCGCTGAAGAAGGCACCTACAGGTCAAATAGTCAAAGCATGTCCAAGCAAAACCATGGAATTTGGATTTGTATGGATGTGCGGTGATTCATTTAGATGGTTTTTCTCAACGCCCGGCCGGAAGTTTGCCGGGTTTGTGACCCATATCCGAGCTCGCCGCAGAACGGCACCGTGGTGGCTCACGAGCGAGTCAAGACCTTTGGTTCGTTGGGTTCACCGGGCTTCGTGTCGTAGACATGATCGGTGTGAACAACAGATCGTGTGGTTTGGAAGAGATACTGGAGGTTTTGACCAAAGCTTCTGAAAGCTCGCTTCATCAAAGTACTGCGAGCCAGTGCTCGGTGCTCTTAGATTGTAGTCAAGGACCCAACCACCAGGGCGTGCTTGCCAAAGCGTTGACATACTATCATAATTTATACTATACCATACTGTGAAAAAGATGATTGCTTTTCGTTTTCTTGCACTACATCACATGCTAGCTTGATCAGGCGTGTTTTCACATACGTCACGCCCAGAAGCATCAGTTGGGAGAGACTGACTGTCACGTCAGGAAGCACTTGTACAGCGTGTGCCATGCCGCAAAGGAACAGATGCTGGCAGATGTGACAAAAGCTTCGCTCGATTGATTCAACTCAACCTCACCATCCCGTTCTCGGCTTCACACCGTTCCATCTTGCGCCATAAAAGTGGCCGGACACACCATGCGACCATCCGTGCGGTATCCTGTGGCCGCTAAGGCTCCACATGTCGGACCGGCTCTACATTGGCACACCTCCCGGGGTGGTTATGGGTGCCTTGGTCTCCATGTCCGGGTAAGACTATATTTTAATATGATATACTGTTGTAGTTATAATATGAGCCAGTCCACAGCAAAATATAGTCAATATACAGTTTAATAATCGTGTTTGTCCTTCCTGTATCACTGTATCAAGCCATTCCACAGCAAAAGGGACCATCTTCCAAGGCCCAAACGATGAAGTCTCTTCTGCGCAAATCACAGCGCTCACATCGGCTCCCCGCTTTCAGATCGGCCTACCGGCGCCACCGGTCTGCGCCAAAACAGGGTCACGGTTCGACCCACACGGAGGAGACCGGCTCGGCTTGACACGCTCGGTATCGCGAGCGCCACGTAAAGCGAGTTCTGGACCGTTCATGTTGACCTTCTATGTACCGTTCTTGCTGGGTCGCACAGCACGGCATCCCGGCACGGCGTCAGTGAATAGAGCGCCTGGACCGAACTGGGACTTTCGTGCGAGCTCACGGCAAAATGGGATGCAGGCAAGGCAAGCATCACACCTCAAACGAAAGCATGCTAGATCTAGCTAGACCTCTTCAGGGTGTTGTGGTGTTTCTTCCAAAGAGGATTTGTAGATACAGAACTCAGTTTGTGCAATAGTGCATCGCTCGAGGTTATTTTTTGGTTGTATCATGTTCCTGCAGATGTGGCTGACGAGTCCCAGAAAACATGGCGCACTCCACTGAAAAACTGTTCTCTACAAGGAAATGCCACCGCTACCTGCAGCATCAGCTGAGGTGTGCTTTCTTTCGCGTTCTGTCCCGTTGCACACTTTTGCAAACACACCGGTAACACAGCTAATAGGCCCAGGCAGGAGCGCAAACATGTCATTCAACAATTTAATTTGCAAAGCAGTACTTTGTTTGGGCTGACAAAACAACCTGAACAACCGAGAGTATATACAGTATATGAATACAGTATATGAGCATATATCACCCCACTATCAAAACTGGTGAAGATGTGCGAAGATCACTTTAGTGGAGAGAGGTAGGTTTGTGCACGAAACCCTGTGGAACGATAAGGTCCACCTCAAAGCCTATAACCCCATCACTGAATATACTATATAATACCTATCCAAGAAATGTGGTAAACCTTTAAAAGTCTTTTTGGGGATTGGGGATACTCCAGCAAACAAGAACAGGTGGAAGTACTTCCGGGAAGCGAGCCTTTCATTTTCCGATTTCCGGCAGAAGGTCACCGCGCGCCCAGCGCCTTCTTCCGATCGCCCCAGGTTTAGCATGGACGGCCAACGGGGGTGCCACCCTCTATGTGGAAGCTCGAGGCCGGAGGGGCCGCAGGGGACTGGAGGGGATGGGAGGACAGCGGGCGACGTCGGGTATGCCCGCCGCGAAGGAGATGGCCCATGGTCGGCCCCAGGGTTTGGGTCGGATGGGGAATGGAGAATGGAGAATCACTAAACCAGGAGAATGAGGAAGAATGGCAGAAATTCATAGGGGCACAAACGCTTCTGTTGGCATGTCAAAGCAAGTGGGGAAACTTCTTGAGCCATCACAGTTTTTGTGTCAGTTTAGGCTTGATTTAGCAAATGTGTGAGAAACAAGTCGTCATCAAGACGTCGCAGCTTATGACAGCTGAATTTATGTTTTGTAGATACTATTCGTATAGTATGTATGGCGTCCTTCGTGATTGGAGCCAGTTCTGGGTGTATGGAAGAGCCATCGGGATGTGTCCAAGCTCTACCTGGAACTTCTGACCCGGTGAACGGCCGACCCGAACGTCCATTCAGCGCTGCTCGTTTTCTCCTCACGGTCGTTCTCGTGCGAAAGCCAAAACGTGCCCGTGCCCAGAGGTCCGAAAACCGTGTCCCTCTTTTTTGCCACGGACATATTTACAACCAGTGAGCAGATCTAGCACCCAGATGCACCCAGTGCTTCTCTCTCATTATTCACACACAGACATTACACATATACGGACGACAGACCTCATGTCCTTGGCGCAAACCAACAGACTCCGCCCGAAAATCATAGTTTGTTGACATGTAAAGTACGCAACTTCTCCATGCCTTTTCTTCGGCTGTCTATTCAGCCTTCATATTGTATTTTTTGTTTAATTTCCTTCGCTTTTTGGGTTAGGCATCACCAGTTGACCAGTCAGGATTTTTTGGTGTTAGGCATCAGCCCTGAACGGAGCTCGGCCGCGTCCCTTCGCTCGGTTGACCTTCCTCGTGCCGAATTGGCCGAATCCGTCGTCCTCGGACGCGCTCGACCAGGCCGACTTCCTTGTGGCAGGTGGGAAGCTTCGTCGCCGTCGGTTCCACGCGAACGAGCGTCTTGACGAACGTGAAGACGTACTGTCACACTGTGCCAAGGGCAAGTAAGTCCTGTGGAGCTCAGACTCACAGCTGAAGATTGGAAGATCATCTCGTCTGGAGTCTGGGAGACATCTCATGGGGCAGATGACGCATGATGACGCCGAGAAGGTCTTACGGACTCAGTCCATAGGTACTTCTAAATGGTTTATACACATTCTCAATTGAAGTTTGACCGGACATGTAACAATTCTGGACTCTTTAGTGTCCCCTTTCATCACTGTCAATGTTGCTCACCTTTTGTGTTCGGGAAGGCCCCGAAGAGCCCCCGACGACCCGGCAGCTGGGTAGCTGGGAGGACCAGGGTCACTCGAACCGCGCCACCAGGGTGCAAGGTGGCATGGCTTCCTTATCCGTGCGAAGCCTGGAAGATGGGTCCTTGCTCGGGTCCGGCGAAACATGTCAAGCTGACAATACAATCTGCATATTAAAATTATAAAAGATATGGGGCCTTGAGGCCTTTCTGCTTGGATAGTTGCAACATATGCAAGAAGTTTGCTAAGAAAGAGTCAAACATCCATGTTATATACAGATTCTTGCAGGAGTCTTGAAGAGACAAGAAGAGACAAGCCTTCTAAGAGAAGATGTTGAGTCTAGGTTGCAGGAAGCGTAAAGACAGAAGACTGGTACGAAGATCGAATGGTGCAGGCACGACATGTCCATTTTCCGCTCTGTTGAATCTATTTCCTGTTCACTCACGGTGTTACCACGGTGTGGTTCCTCACGCCGAGCCAATTCAGAATCGGCTTCCCACGGCGTCCCAGCGACGCCGGCAATGGTCGGCTTGCACTCAGGCTGAGTCGGCAAAGGGAGAGTCCAAGCCTGGTAGTGGACACATGCAGGCTCTGCTTTGACGTCTGTAGACGCCCATGCCACGTGCCATCGTGATTCATCAGTGCTGAGGAGAGTAAAAGGATCCATATTTATAGTTTGAGGTGGAATTGTCAGGTGATTGTCTCAAGACCATTGCCCAAGACACCCCGGTTTTTTTCGCGGCGACAGTTCGAAGGGCCTGAGTAGACGATGTAGGTCTTGGTTAAGGACCTGCATGGTGGTTCTTTGGAAGTATATCTGATCATTCATTGTTTCAGCTGGGTAGGGTTTTCACGATGATGGAATCGCTAAAGGAGACATTTTTCGCCACCGTGTTCAGTCCGAGTTCAACCACTCTGTTTCCTTTGTTGCTAGGCTGCTAGGTGTTGAATACATGTGAATACTTGTTTTGCTCAAAAAAGTCTACAGTGAGTTTGCGAGTCTTCACCAGACCTAACCAATCCCTTCAGATGTGAACATCCATGGCTTTGGCAGGAATGCTAAGATCGAATCTGTTGAACCGCTGCCTTGGAGAGGTCTGTTATGACAATCCCTGCCCACAGCAAAGTCTTCAATTGCTCAATGGATTGATTTGTTTTGAACAAGTTGCCTTGACTTTTGGTGAACAATCAGAAAGCATCACGAAAGCACCTTTCCAATGCTTGAAGCGAAGCACATGCAATACACTGACTATGCTGAGCTTTGCCCATGTGCTTGGCTCAACCGAGCCTGGCTTTGCTTGAACCTGGGAAACAACAAAAAAACCAAGCGGCCCAAGCGGCCACCGAGCTGTTTGTCGCGAGGTCACTGGTCAGTTGGGAAGTGTGATGAGTGAGTTGGGCCGCCGAGCGAGGGACGGTGACAGACGTGACCGGGAGGAGAAGGGTTCGCGTCGACTTGAAGGGAAGCGACCGGGTTTAGGGAAGATACCTTTCGGGCCACGGGTCGTCACTCAAAGGAGTTGCAGGAATCATGAAGATGTTGAATATGATGTGCTACCAAGTGCAGCTGGAGAGTTCTGTTGAAGGGAAGTTCGTGAGCGTAGCAGGATTGGTCGCATATACCAGGAAGGTCGCTGTCAGCCACAGGTCGATCTGGCCCCGGGTCCATGGTGATCCCCGATGCATGTTCCCAGTAGGACCGGTCCTGGTCCGTCAGTCAGGTGTGTGACCTGGTCCATGACAAAGTCCTTTTTGCCAGGGTAATTATGCGGTGTTGGCTTCCAAACTTCAAAACACCATCGGAAGGGTGGTACCTTTTCGGAAGTTTTTGCGGCACAGAATACTTCCGACACCCAAGTGGCAATGTCCCTCCTTTGATGAAGACCGTTTCGGGGAATGGGCATCGCTACTAGGAGCAAAGGGCATCGCTACTAGGAGCAAGGACGCTACTAGTAGCTCCTGGCATTACTACTAGGAACAAGAAGCCACTAGTAGGTCCTTGAAGCTACTAGTAACAATACGTTTTTTGGTATGTCTTTGAAGCTTCTTAGTAGCAAATAGAAAGAAGGGGAACGAGTCTGATTTCAAAAGACATGGCCCATAGCACGTGCGAAGACATGATCGTCCAAGGCTGTATGCACACTTACACAAAAAATCCATACGACCGGCAAAACGCTGAAGGAAGAGTCTTGGGTTCATGTTGTCACGTGGACTATGACGCGGATCCTTTTTTTGTTTACGCATTCCGAGGTCTAGTTCAATATCTTTGACCTATGCTCGACTCTTCATGCGGGAGCCGGGACCTTATGATTCAGTCAGTTTGACGGGCTGTAGTACTTCAGTATATGTATCAGAATCATCCATCCCAAAGCAACATTATTTTCTTTCTCAGCTTGGACCATTTCACAAACTTCCGAATCATGTTGTTATGTTGTTCTCAAGACCTTTGAAACACCACACGACGCTGTTTCCTGGATTGTCCTGCACATCTCCATGAAGGAGAGGTACATGGAAGGTCAGTCGCAGAGATAGAACAACACCTGGTAACAAGGGCATCGCTACTACTAGTAACAAGGGCATTGCCAGTAGTAGCAAGAAGCTACTAGTAGTAGCGATGTGCTTGTTACTGCAGCCGGACGAATGGCATTGTGTCCTGACGAAAGTGTCAAACGAATTCAGAGAAACGTTGGGTGCCCCGCGGGGAGGTAATAGTTACTTTCTCACTTGCAACCCATCAGGATCCATCAGGCCTTTATGATCCTTTATAAAGCCGGCTGTGCCTTTTGAAAGGGCCCCAAGTGTTGTCCTATTCTCTTGGATCATCCCAAAAACCAGTCCTGCAGCCGAACCAGGCTGAGCCGAACACTTCGGCTGAGGCTAGATCCCACGAATACCTTCCTGGACGTGGCCAACATTCATTTGCATGTGCCCGAAGGTGCTACGCCCAAGGCTAGGAAGAAGTGATGTGTTTTGAGGGTGCGGTAGGTGTTTGGGTAGGTGTCTGGGATGGAATTTTGAAGCTCTTGAACAATAGCATAGGGAGGAGGAATGATAGGACGGTGGATGATGGATACTTACTTGACTCCACTTCAACAGGCGCGGCCTGCGGATTTTCGAAAAAACCCGTTACCCCCAACACCTCCGCTCCGCTTAAGCACCCCAACACCCACCGTGTACATCCGCCGCCAACGTGCAGGATGGCCCCTCAGCGGGTGTGACCATGACCTCCGCCCTCTTGAGTTGTGCTCTTGAACGGCCGTTGTTGGCGCCTGGGCACGCCTTCTTCCGTCATCGGGTCACCGGTCGGAGCTCGGGTCACTGGTCACCTCCGAACACGGAACCGACAACGAAGGGACCGAATCCCAGAGAGATCCCGCAGGGGACGATGTGGAACGATGTGGACACCATGAAGAAGGGAGGTGTGAACCGGGTGACACGGTACATGGATCCACGGTTGGAGTGGTTCACCTGGAGTGGCCGGTGTTGCCTACTCTCGTCAAGTTTGGCGAAGTACCAGTGGACAACACCCAATTGGGGATGCTGACTATGAGAGATCCAGGGACAGACTCAATGTCAGGAACGGTATTGAAACATTGGACAGGAAGGGACATTTTTGTGTTTTTCCCGAGACCACATAAATACGCTTGAAACCTTCGTGTCCTGCGTTTCTATTGCAATTGGCTTGTAAAGCACCAGCAATTTCACCCTGGATTATATACAGAGATGCGGGTGTTCACAAAGGTTTGGGTGGGGGAAAGCACCATTCCCGCTTGTGTTGCTACAGAAAAGAGTCACATTCTAAAAACATGATGAAACAGAGAATCAAGATATGGCAAGGGTTTATGCTCCTTCTTTAAACGGGGATTCTATACATTCTTTTCCCTTCCCTTTGTTTCGTTCCTCTTTTTTGCTGAGACTCTTACTACAGTATTTATATACTAGTCTAGTCAGGAGTGCATTTTGTGCATATGGGTGTGTCTTGAAGTAGGGAGACCTCCCAGGCTTTGCGACCCTCTGGAAGAAGGGGGTTGTCGTCCAACACCCACAGACGCATCCATCGCTATTAGAATACACACCCATCGCTAGGGCTCCAAGCAGCTTCTAAGAAGGTGTTTGAGTTGCTTGCCGCGTTCATGAAAATCAGGCCGATGTCGCCATGACTGGGGAGCTCACTCTCATGGGCAAGGCCAGGCCGATCCGAGGATGCTGGGAGATCAGCCATGGATCCTGAAAGACCGGTGGTTTAGTGAAACTAGGTGTGACGCCAGCCATGACATCAGCCATATTCTGGTGGATGTGGATAGGAGCACTGAAGGAGAATGGGAGAGTTGGAAGAGAACTTCTACCGTGGGGACCTATGTCTTCTTTTTTGGACGAACAAGCGAGTGGATGAAGCCTCATCAACTTTGGTCGGATGTGATCTAGTTGATCAGTGTGGCCTGAGAGGCCGAGGCCGAAGCTGGTGATTCATGGCCTCGGAAGTGATGACCAGATCCACTGCTCCCTCTGAGGGTATGGTGATTGGAGACACTGTGATGTAGGTTTGGAATGGTTTGGAGGGTCCAGTCGTACCTTCTTCTGAGAAGGTGCGACTGGATCCCTTAGGACAAGTGATGATCAGATATGAGCAAGGAAGTCTCCCGTGTCGCTGAACTTGTGGCTCCACCGCTGCTGGCTGCCTGGGCTGCCTGCAGGTGCTGAAAGTCGGAGGCATCAAAGAGAAGGCACCGCATCGGGTGGTTTTCCGGTTGGGATGGTAGAAGTGGTCCATCGACCAGCCGTTCATCAAGAAGTGATCGGATCCTCTTTCCAAGACACCTTTTGCTTGGCAAATAACTTGCTCTGGTGTACATGGCAGGAATCTTTCAAATGGCCACAGAATGCAATCGATTCCAAAGTCAAGGGGACACCGATGAACCAGGCCTCCAAATGGATGTGCCACCTTGCGAGTTCACATCGGATGTGATCAGAGAATTGGCATTAGGATTCCCTCTGTTTGTGGAATAGCACGATTTCACTTGGAAGTCCCTTTGCCACAAGTCCTGTCCTCATCAAACCTACCATACTTACTGCTCAGCAAACCGTTTCTCAGGCCTTGATGCATATCGGAATAGGCCATAACATGCCATAACTCACCAGGCATACGGCATACTTGTAAATTAGGCGAATCCAAGACCCTACAAACCCTAGTTTTCTCTAGAGCCTACAGACTGTAGGTTTTGGATTCACCCAACTTGTACATAAATGCCTTGTCTATAGTAGAAGAGGCTTGGACTGTGTCCACTCCGATATGCTTAGAATGGCAGACCTGCCAAAGAAAACGACATTCCTCTGCACTGTGGGTGTGAAGCTGCGAAGCTACTCGATGTGTTTGTACGAAAAAAAAGACGAGTAAGGTTGCAGTGTTCTGCTGTCCCTTTTGGGTGCTAGGGCATGATAGATGACGCTTAGCGAAACCAACGAAACAGACGAAGCAGATGCGCTCCCTGGCCGCCACGCGACAATTCGACCCGGCCGGTCGACCGGTCTTGGTCTTGGTCGCCGGTCGTCAGGTCATTGCTGCTCGACGGGAAGGAGTGAAGACCTTGCTTCTGCCTCTTCAGAACGAGGTGAACGGACACGGGGCGTTCGAACGTGCTGCCTTGAGACACTGGAGACATCCAGGAATCCAGTCTGAGCTATTTTTTTGGATATTATTTATAACTAAATACACAACATACACACACATATATAAATATATATATATATATTATACAATATATTTGTTGCCAAGTTGAACTTGGAACTCAATGGACACCATTAGACATTTTTCCGTTGGCCAGAAAAACTGTGAGACTGAAGATGAACATTCCTTTTGCACCATCTTCCACGGGATTCTCGAGTCAATCGTTGTGTGTCGAACCGAGCAGAGTCTCCACCCGTGCTCCTGACATTCGGCACCAAGACTTGGACCTTGTCGTCAAGACTTGGACCTGTGTCGTCGCTAAAAAGCCTCCGTACGTTCTTCTGCGTTCCGCACACACTCACACCCTCTCACACCCTCTCACACCCTCTCACACCCCTCTTTTGCTGTTTCAGGTCAGAATGAAGGGGGTGTGGTGACGTGGTGGGAGTTGACGGCGTTGACCAATGCGTTGGCTTTCAAAAGCTTCGACGCAGAATGAGGCTCATGGTCCTTCGGTTCCTTCCTTCTTTGAAGCCTTCGCTGATATGTTGGAAAAAGGCTTCATGCCAAAAAGGACCCGCACAGGCTTTCCAATTGAACATGCTTCGGGGCGATGACAGTCAGGTCCACAGACCATTTTTCCACCACTTTTCAGGTGAAAACATGTTTAAAGACGGCGGAGACCCACGTGTATCATGGCCGATTGAAAGGAGAGCCCCAAAGTCCCCTGCCCTTACGTTGGAGGCCATTGCACTTAGGTTGCAGGCCATGGCTTCTTGGTTGGAGGCCATGGCCTCTTGAGCTTTTTGAAAGACTTGGGCCTCCTTCGGTGGACTCAGCTTCGACTCCTTCAGTCCGCTGGTCGCCGAGAGTGACCAGTGTTCCACGCTCTGTGAAGTTTCTGGTGCTGGCTGACCCTGAAAGAGAGAAAACATATGCCCCATCCGTAGTAGGCAAGACATGGCAAGACATGGCAAGACGCATGGTCTTTTCGTCCGCATATCACAGTCCGAACAAGCCTTGAAAAAGGGTCGGGCCGCCAGGCGGATTACATGGAGATCAAGGAGTACTTGCGTCGCCAGCCTCAGAGACACCTGTTGATCGCTGGGGGCCGAAAAAGGCCACCCCCCGTTTCGCTGCGCTTCCCAGCTGCGTCTCCAGAGTCAGGGGCCCGACTTCGCACGCTCTGCGTGCTGAGGCAATGCATGGTGGGTGGTGATCCTGGGAGCTCGTCAAGTTTCGATGCATTTTTGGGATGTTTCAGGATGTTTTCGGCCCGTGTTGAGCATGTGTTGAGCATGTGTATGGACATCCTTGGAATCTGTGTCCTGGCGCCTCACGTGATCAACCCCAGCGAACAGCAGGAAGTGGAAAAGGGTTCACAGTGGTTTCAGAGTAGATGGCACAGACCTCAAGATGTTCTGTACATGGGGGTTCATATAAACCACCGACATTGGGGTCTGTGCCATTGGTCCTCTCAATCCACTATAAATGGAGCACTGAGCTCCGGCTGCAGCGCTGGTTCCAGGCTGACCGGCTGACCTATCCCAAGCCCGTTCGGCTCGCCCTGGCGACCGAGGCGACGGTCTGACGGCCCACTTTGTGGATCACTTTGATGAGACTTGGACGAAGCCACGCGGTCCGGGTCCGGCGGAAGGTTCGGCTGGGACCCTCCTTCACTGTAGTGGACCTCATCTTGAAGCATGTGGGAGCGTAATTCAAGCCGGTGAAAGGGGGGTTTCCCCGCCTTCAAATCTAGTTCGGATGATCGGGTAATGTCCTGGTCTACTACCGAACGAACATTTGTTTCGGAGAAATCTTCACATAACGGGCCCTCATACAGGATTGACAAAGGAATTGACGGCTTTGGGAAGCTGTCAGTTTTGAAGAAGAACTAGAGGAACCTATATCAACTGTTCATTACTTTAGTATAGTAGTATTAAGGTCTCCGGAAAGGATTTATGTTCATAGCAGAAATTAGGATCCAAAACTTAGCATATTAGATGATCCATTTAGCAAAGATGCTATTATGAATAGTTTGAGAACTTTTGAGAACACATGTGCATTATTGATCATTCATTACGCATCATGATCCAACATTAGGATCTTTCTTCAGAGTCCCTGAGACGACACATTCAGGGGTCTCAACTCTGCTTGGCAATTGGACACAGCTGGACCGGGCTTCTTTTTTGTTTTCTTCTTTTGGAGGATCGGGCGCGAACCGACGAGACGAATCGATCCTTTCCTTCCGCCCCTTCCTTTCAGCGACAAATAGCACAGCTGACCAATGTGCGGCCTGTTGAGTAACGCTGCCTTTCTGCCTTTCTTGAGAACATCAGGGTGCTGCGTCGGTGATAACACATGGAAACCCACGGCCTGCATTTCGCAAACAGGGAAACACAGCCAACCCATTCTGAACTCAGCAGGTCTTTCCGGCTCAGAATTGACACGACAACTCTGTGTACTCACCATATACTGTGTCCTGAATCATTTGGTAGAGGACATATGAGGACGTAGGATTTCAACGGATTTCATTGGTAGTTGAAGCCTCATCAGACTGATCAGCCGCTGATTGATCAGCCTTATGCACTTTAGCAATATTTGGCAGGTCCCACTTGAAGCGTTATAGGTCTCACCAACATTTGGAATGCGGATAGGCAGTCTATCAGTTTTTATATATCTTTTTTAAACCTTGACATGAACATGTGGACAATCCGTTGCACTGGCACCTCCGGAGGTTTCCGCAGCATCTGTGAAAGGCGACTCGTTTCGCTGTTCATTCCTCGTTTCGACTCATCTCCAAAAGCCAAGAGCCAAGGATGCCTATCGGCTCATGTTCGATCCAAAAGAGGTGGGATCTGGAATCAGCTGCGCTGAACTGGTTCAGCCTGGATGAAGGAGCTTTTATGAATAAAACACGCCAGTGATTTGAGCACCAGATAGACTACAACATCAAACTACTTACCCTTCACTTACCATTTACATCAAAAGGATCTCACCGTTTGATGCAAAACATCCACACGATTTCTCACTCGGTTCGTGTCCACGGCAGGTGCCCTCTCTGAAGTCTTCCAGAGGCCTTCCAGTGATCACGGCCTCTCGGCTTCGGTCTCGGCGGCTTAAGAGGCCTCGGGCGGTGAGAAAGCAGGTTCTCGTGCCTGCACGGGAAATGGTCCCGTTAGATAAAAAATTGAATCCAAGATCCTAGGGCCCTAGGGGTCAACCCAGGGAATTTAACAGTTGTTCAATTGAAATCCTTCACCCAACGATTCTGGCGTTATTCAACGATGCAAGGATGGTGACATGCAAGGATGATGGACGGTTTAGAGGCTGGGCCACAACCACAGGCAGGGCAGATACATGATCAGCATGATCAGCATGATCTGAGGCACATGGGGTGGTGGTCATGGCCCCAACGTGAGCGTTCTTCTTGGTGTATCCATAGGGATGAGTCAAGCATGGTCAAGTGCTGCCATTGGATTGGGGGGGTTTGACAGTCCATTCACGGGTGACAGCCAACCCCTGTACCCTTTTGAGTCGACCTCGTTGTTGTCGCTGGTTGCTTCCGTATTTGCCAGCCTCAGATCAGGTGCTCCAACTTCTCCGGGTTGTCTAAACGAGGACTATTTATCTATAATTATCTATATATTATTTCTATTTGTCTCTGTTTCTCTGTCTCTCTGTCTGTGTCTCTGTTTGTGTCTCTATCTGTCTGTGTCTCTGTCTGTCTTGTCTTGTCTTGTCTTGTCTTGTCTTGTCTTGTCCTGTCCTGTCCTGTCCTGTCCTGTCCTGTCCTGTCCTGTCCTG